AAAATCAAGTAAGGAACTGGACATCAGAATTGGTGGTATATTCTGCATGCTGGGAAGCTGTTGTCTCTTCACGGTCATGCTCAGAATATTTACTGGTTACCTGAATCCCTTGTATGCACATAGCCATAGATTTTATGTTGGTTCCATAATGTAGGCATGTTTTAGAGGAAACCTCTGAAGATCAGTGGCTAAATAACTCTGTCAAATAACTCTGTCAAATACAGTGAATTTTAATGTCATGTTTAGAACAGATTAAATCTAAAACCATCCCATTACTAACCCAGTGGCTACAAACTCACTCTATTTATTATTATTACATGTTAATGTAAATCTGAAGTGTTCTGCACATTGAGGAATACTCATATACTATGCAGAAAGTGCTAGTGGTATGCTGAGTTGTTGCAACCCTTAATATTTTTGCCTTATGCAGGATCTCTTTATGCACATTTACTTAGGAGTATGTCCTAATGCCTGTATTCATGTGATATGATTCGATAGGTTAATTAAAGTCCTAAATGTTGCATGATGCACCATGTTAAGCTTGGTTAGCTGAATTTTCTGAACCCAAGCATTGAGTTCATTGGAATATTATCCACCAGTTCCTTCAGGAGGAAAAATACTAAAAATATAAAATTTAAAAAATGAAATAAATTAAAAAAATATATTATTTATTTTTAAGCAGAGTTTCAACAAATAATGGAAACTATATCCAAAAGAAATATGCATAAGATTGCATTATATCTTCTTAAATTGGAGCAGTCTAGTTTGCAAATTGAACCCTTTTACAGAAATGTCAGATGTACCGTAATTTGAATGTATCTGCTAACTTTTCACTTATGTTTTCGCTTCACATTTGAAGGCTGAACAGACTTTTCCCCTTCTTTTTTTTAAAAAAAACAAACAGATTTTATGTACTGCTAGGGTATTTAACACAAAGAGACATATTGTGTTTTGACTAACCAAGAATTAATTCATATGGAATTCTTTTTTAAAAAAAAAAGCCACTAAAAATCAAATGAACAAAGAAAAAAGATCTAACCACTCTCCTAATGAACAACATCTGATGAAATGCTTTGAAAAAGACAGAAAAACATCCTTTTGAAAAAGAGAAAATGTTCTAGCACAGTCTTCCCAGAAGGCTGAAGGAAAAGCTTACTAGTTTAGGTAGATAGTATCATTTTACTACATAAATAAATAAGACATACCAAATTCTGCTACCGCATACCAGACAGGAATTCATATTTGAAATGGGGCCAGTTCCATCTTTGAAGTAAATCTCATTGACTATATTGGGCTACTCTCTTAGGGACATATGCCAAAGCAAAGTTCTGCAGTTTTGCTCCAAAAAATAACTTCTGTGTTCTCACAAAGTTTTAGCTACCACAGCTTTTACAAGACTATATACAGATCTGGTGATCCCTGCAGGAGATGCAGGCCTAAATTTGAAAGGTAATTTATTTTGCTAGTTTTAAGCATTCAGTTTCAGGGGAAAAGTCGCACTAACTCAAGGGGTTTGGAGACAGGCTTTTCTTAAATGGCTTCTTGGAAAAATGGAACACTCTACAGAATATTTTTCTCTCCACTCCCATTTTCTGCAATACATGATTCTCTTCTAATAAGAATTTCACTCAATCACAGAAAATTCTTCTGTGTCTTTTTTTTTTCCCCCTTTCGTTCAAGACTGCCTGCACAAGTCCTTGCCATTTTTCTGGCAAGATTTTTCAGAAGCCGTTTGGTGTTGCCTCCTTCCTATGGCTGAGAGAAAGTGACAGGTCCAAGGTCACAGATTTTGTGCCTGAGGAGGATGTGGGGGACTAGAACTCAAATCTCCCAGTTTCTAGCCTGATGTTTTAATCACTACACCAAACTGGCTCTCTCTGCAACTTAGCCCCACTTTTACATTTTTTAATTAACTTATTGAAGCAGCTGGTTTCAGGCTGACTTAGCCCAACTTAGCCCTGCCCTTCAGGGATGCTCACCTAAAACACAGATACTTTCTTCTTTTGAAGCTCTGCAGCTTTGCATGAGGAAAAGTGTGTATTCTACCTAAACCTGTTAAAATGTTTCACTCTTGGTGCAATTTTTAAACATGTTTAAACATTAAATGTTTTTAGTACTACCTAATGCATAAAGCGCAGAAACCAAGGATCATCTCAAAGAGACATGACTTACAACTTGGCATGCCAATACTTGTTGCAACTTTATGACTATTGTGTAAATATAAACTAGGCATGTTTACATGAAATTGGGGTGATATTTTAAGTATTAGTGTAAGCAATAGAATACCTCGATGGAAACTGAACTATTAATCAATGGTTAACATTATCTGGAGATAGCTTCCATAATAAATTAATGTATTAGAATTATTAGAATTAGCCAAGTCTTTAAAAAAACTGACATGTAATCATGTGTCTTTTCAGAGTCTGCTCAGTTCTTTGGCATGTCTTGCATAGAGGATATAGACATTATGTAGTAAATAAAATATGTTGATTAATTTTGCTTACCTCCCAAGGCTATGTGGAAGAACAAAGAACTGATTTGATTTGATTCAATTAAGGAACTATAACTATAACAAACTGTAAGCTGATACTTATAGTTCTTTAATTGATTCTGCATGCATAAAAAACTTAGAGAACATACTGAAAGCCATTGGTTATTTATGCAAACATTACTGCATGCACCAGCAATTATGATAAAAATTTTGTAGGTATAAAGAATAAACCTTGTTTAGACCTTTTCATGCTTAAGAACACTGCAGTGAAGCATCTTAATTGAAGTAAAAGAAAAAAGTACAGCCACAAAGAGACAGCTGTAAAAAGCATTTCACATTCCAGAGCAGCACTGAATGAGCAAATCCAGAGTCTTCAATATTAAAAACAGCAGATAATGTACCACAATTATTGCATCTCTATAAAATAGTTATTACAACTGTTAACAGGAAATATTCTGATTTCTTATTATATAGCAATACGTAGGTCTTATGATATTCCCAGCATTCTATGTTCCTGCCACAAATGGATTAGGGATGTCAAGAAAAATGTAGACATTATTTTTAAAGTTCCCATGAAATTCTGTATTAGTAATATATGGGTGGCAGGAACTCAAAAATTACAAAGGATGAGCAAGGAGAAAAATATATCTCAAATTGTCTTTCTACCTTTTCTCCATCCAGAAAAATCCAGTTCATTAAATTACTGGTGTTGTTCTGAACTAATGATTAAGAAAGGAAGAAAAACATAATCCGTTGATTATGTCTTAAATTCACACGCATGATTTCTTTCTTCTCTAGTGGCAGCTCGTTTTTACAACTCTTAAGATAGCTTGAAGAGTAACAACTGAGTGGTGGAAGAGGATTGATTAGATCCAAATTCAAATTCTTACTAAGCTACAAAGCTCACAATATGGCCAGTCACCATCTCTCGAGATAAAACTGGTTGGAAACCATAGATCTTCAGTAGCATGGATCATAGGCTATGAAAGGGATACTTAATAAATAAATTGTTTTCTCTAAACAATGAGAAAAAGTGGAGTTCTGCTTTGGAAAGTCTATGAGGGCCAGTTGGATATATGCTGACTTTTCCCCCATTTAGAAAAAGGTTTATACCAGTCTTTCCCAGACAAACCTACAACTGGGTTTGTCTATTATATCCAATATCCCTAATCAGCAAGATAAGCAGAAATAAAGTCCAATATATCTAGAGTACAGTATTGGGAAATGTATGCTTCTATAGTGTGTGTGTGTGTGTGTGTGAAGAGAGGTCTATATCCATTTTACTTAGCTCCTTTGTCAATAGGATATTTGACTGAGTGTTGCCCTGACATACTATGAAAACAATAAATATAAGAGAATCACTGTATGTAATGAATTTGAGCCAAGCATCTGCATTTGAGAATTCACTAATATCTCAGGGCATGCATGTTGCCTTCTGATGTGCTTCAGCCACTTGCTGAAGCATATCAGATGTGCCTCAATTAAAATCTGCAACACGTTCTCTGCCATTCTAACCAAGTCTCCCTTGATGCCATTGGAGGTTCTTCTTTGCTTGATTACATGGCTTCATACTTTCCAGCTTCAATCCCCATCATTACCACACAGGGCTGAGAAAGCCTCCTGCTTAAAACCTTGGAGAACCAGCACCCAGCCAGACAAGAGATGAAGCAATAATCTGGCTTAGAATAAGTAAATGAGCTACCTAATTTGTCTCCCTAGGCTGAAACTTTGGGCTGACAAACCTCAGTCAGCAGGTTGGTGGGAACAGGGCTCTTCCCCATGGTCCCTCATTATCTCCCTCCACTTTTTGGCAAAGAGAAATCTTGATGTCAGAAGGATATACACATCCTGGGATCTTAAGGGCAAAAACCCTTAAGGATGGTAGAGATTTTAAAAGGATAGGGAACAATAAATCAAGTGAGGGGGAAAAAAGAGCATGTGTAAAGATAAATAATTGGCCATACATACTGCATTGTGCTCTACAGTAGAAAAGAAAGATTTTACAGTATATATGCTCCCTAGCCAGAATCAAGCTGATACAAAAACTGCCTTCACACATTTAACCAAGTACTAGAAAAAAGAAGTTATACAACTGCTTAACAAATTGTCAGTGGAAATGTGAGAAACGACTAGGTTCAAAGCTGCCTAGTGTTGGCTATTTGGAGAAATGGTAGTCAGCTGTTTCTTTGCAATCTTTTCCCAAAGGGCTTTCAGGAAAAGTTAAAATGCTGCAAATGCCTTGTTAGGTATAGGTCTAGGGACGGTACCTGATGTCCAAGCGATCCTCAGAAGTCAGATCTGGGGATGGTTTGTGGGTGAGGGGGAAGCCCTATTCTCACACTCCAGTGTGAATAGATCTTACAGCCCCACGCGACTTGTGAGTTGCTACCTATTAACAGGTGCCCCTTCTTAGCTTTCCAGGCTTTCTCAAAGCAGCGGCCAAGAGAATCCTTGGGCTTTGCACTTGCACATGGCCAGGCGGTTCCTCGGGAACTCGCCTTTGGCGATGATGGAGATCAACCGTGAGTCTTCCGGGGCAAACTTGCGCCGGGTCCGAGCTCACCTCGAGCTTTCGTCTTGCAGGTACCCGGCTGTCTCCGGAACCCCTCACTCACCTGGGCCGGCAGGAAGGCTCGGCGGGACAACCAGCTAGGACAGCGGCGGTTGGGGAGACGACTTCCCCGCGGTCTTGGTCCAGGTAAAGCGGATGGGGGGAAAGCGGAGCGGTCGGTGGGGAGGCAGCTCCGCTGAGTACTGGCGCTACAGACGCTGCTCGGACTGAGAGGAGCCAGAGAGGAGAGCGCGGTCTTTAACCGAGAAGCTGGAAAGGAGAGGCGGGGGGGGGGGGGAAAGCTGACCCCTTGCTCTGTGGGGCTAAAGAGCTGGGCTGTCCCGGCAGGGAGCGGGGCTGCCCTGTTTCGGCCCCACCCAGCCACCCACCTCCGCGGGCAGGATGGGTGGCGCCGGGCCCGGGGT